TATCTTCACAATTAACCCAAATAAAATAGGAGCAGGAGCATCGCTTCATTTACCGCTTTCAAGGCAACAATCCAGCAAAGACTGATCACTGCTCCTTCCTTATGAAGCTGCCCAAACAAGATCATCAGAGCAGGTGCGTTACTGCCACCAGGTGTGTGTCTGAAACTTGGTCCCCACAATGCACAAAGGCCAGTGCATACACACATAAATACACACAAACAGGGAAAATGAGAGAATGGAGACACAGACTAAAACACCACAACAATCGGCAGGTTGAACGCTGAGGACTTGCGGTACCCTGACAGTTTTTTAACACTTAAAGGTTGATTTAGTAATGCATGAAAACATACGCAAGCATATCACTGCTGTTTGACAGTGTTTCATTAGAAGTAGCAAAGTAAGTATATAAAAAAAAAACATTTAAGCAGTGTCACTGTGGTATTTGAAGCACGAAATGTCCCTGCTTCCTTAAAATCCTTTACTTGCCTCTCAGCTGGTCCAACATATAACAAAGCTTGATACTGCTTGACGTTTGTTGCTGAATTTTCAGTGCTTGTGGCACATAATTTGAAGAGGGAATTGATGCTGCTTCACTTTGTCTGGCTGTTTCTGAAATTTAGGATCATGCGTTTCATGGTGGAAAACTGAACCAGGTCATTTTGAAACAGTCACGTCTGACATTGGACGTTGGACTTTAACAACTCGATAACAAAACCAGGCTTTTCATTCCAAGACCCTGGGTAGTCAGTCCCACTTTTCCTCTGATACAAAGACATCATACCTCTATCATATAACCTGTTAGGTATAGGGCTTTATGAAAGGTGCCGCTCCTTGACTTTAGCCCCCAGAAAACCCTAAAAATGTTTAAATTTATTTATTTGAGTCCAGAACATTTCGTATCCTTTTTTTCTTTTTTAACACAAAGTCTTTAGACTTACAGAAGTAAACATATATTAGTATGACAGTTTTACAATGAGGCTTACTTTTTTATGCAGAAAAAGATCTTGAGTGAGCTTGTAAATTCACACTGACGTTATACAC